CATTTATTTTCAGAAGAGTAACTCTGGTCCAAATCACTATTGAAAAAGTTAAAATTGTGGTTTATAAAATAAGAGCACTCATCAACCCTTTCTAATTTTTAACCAGATACAACATTCAGAAAGAAATCTCCATAATCTCACACCAGGAATCTACTTAACAAAGGGCTACTACTTATCACATATACTTCTTAATTATCTAGTCAAACTTAACACCTTAAACTCTGCTATTTCAGTTGTGGGCATTCTGTGGAAACATTTCGTTAAGGCTTTTCTTTCTATAACCCTTACCGACCTGCAGGATTTGTTATCTGAAGTGATTTTCTTAGTTTACATCATTATGAATCTTGAAAATGATTGATGCGCTATGCGACATTTTTTGAGAATCTATATTTCATTGTTGCTGGGCTCAATTTGATGCACTGTTTATCATAGCTTTCTGAGGGTTTTGAATCTTTTATATGATAGCAATCGTGATGTTTTGGACTAGAATTCTTGTATTGTTTATCAAACTATCAATTATGTGTGTGTGTCTATATATATATATATATATATATATATTACATTAATGCATTAATATTTGAATGCCATTATTGTCTTTAGAAATTTAGGGCTGCAAATAACAGTCTTATGTAAAAGTTAATTTGTGTTTACATGCTCAATAAGTAAAACTTCTACAATTATGCTGCTCACCATGAACTCTGATTGCCATTCCAACGACCAATTGCACTCTCTTTGATATTTTCTCTGTAAAACTTAATATATAGATACAGCTGGTGGACTACCTTTGTATTCTGCTCTCTTGCCACTGTAAATAATTCCCTGAACTAGGAATATTCTTCATTGCTGTGTATGCCATCGCCAAAAAAACTTAAGATTGTTCACTGTTAATTGCTAACTCGTGATTCCTGCTAATGTTAACATGGTAATTTTTCTCTATTTGAATTGAATTTTCATCTTGCATATTCTGTATGAGAAACACCACTGATTTCCAACATGTTTCAGTATTATTGTGTATATTTTGGCTTAATTTTACTATATTATTGTGTAAGAGGTCAGATTAATTAGGGAACTAATTGAGACATGCAGTTGTTGTATTCATTGTTGAGATTTGCGGTGTTTGTTTATTATTTTGAATGAATATATAGAACTAAGTCTTAGCATTAAGGAATTCAGGGAATTTTATTTTGGCCTGAAGTTCCCGTTGCTCCGACTTCGGTGAGGTTCAAGATTACGATGCAGAGATTTTTTTGTTACTCATGGCTTGTTTTTTAGAGCAAAAAATGTGTGCTTCACATTTAATCTTATTGTTTTAAAATGTTGAATAGTTCTCATGGTTTCTGAGATCTCAATTTGAATTATGTAAGAGGATATGCTGCTTGTAATTGGAATCAATGATATTATTGTATTTCCCTCATATTTTCTTACATGATATTGGCGCCCCTAAGCTTCCTTTTTGGATTTTTCTCACTTTTCCACCCTTGGTCACATCCCAGTTCCTTGTTTCTGGCCTTATTATTTTAATTGTTATAACCTATTATGGCCTAAAATCTACATGCTTATTGCCATCATCATCATCATCATCATCATCTTCCAAATCCTTGATTTTTTATTATGTGCATGGTAAATTGCAATTCTTAGTAAGAATTGCAAGTCATGTTGTCAAGACTTCTTCTCTAAGATGATGTTGTCTACTCTGACCAGTCGTTCTAAAGAGCTAATTTTTTGAAGAAATAATCTAGTCAACCTTTTTGAGATCTACAAAACATCGGTTTGCATATAATCTTCATTGAAAAAAAAAAACAACTTGAGGAAGTTCTAATAAATTCAAACTCAAATCACATGCTTGATATCGGTCCTAAGCAAGGAGATTGAGGACTTAATGCTTGAAATGTGAGAATTAATGAAAATGATGGCTATGGACTTCAACAACAACAACAAAACCTTAATCCCACTATGTGGGGTCGGCCACATGAATCCTTTTTCTCCATTGCGTCCTATTTAGTGTCATATTTTCATTTAGTTCTAATAAATTAATATCATTTTTACCTCTGTCTTTCTTAACATAAGTCGAATCTAAAACATTTACTCTCCTAATCGGATCATCAGATGGTCGACGTTTAATGTGCCCAAACCATCTAAGATGACTTTCTCTAATTTTGTTCGTCACAGGAGCTACGCCAACCCTATCACGGATATATTCATTTCGCATTTTGTCTCCAAGTGTAAAGTCACTCATCCACCTAATCATTCTCAGTTCGACAACCCTTAACTTAGTATTATGCGTCTCTTTTAAAAGCCAACATTCAGCTCTATAGAGCATTGCAGGTCTCACCACCGTCTTATAAAATTTTCCTTTCAGTCTTAGCGGCACTTTTCTATCACACAAAAGGCCCGAAGCATTCCTCCACTTCAACCAACTAACTTGAATTCTACTATTAACATCCCCATCTATATCACCATCACTCTGAACAACAGACCTGAGATATCTAAATCGTTCAAACCTTATAATAATTTGATCACCCAAAGTTACACTTCTGTCACAAAAGCTACTACTACTAAACTTACATTCCATGTATTCAATTTTAGCTCTACTCAAATGAAGGTCTTTAGACTCTAATGTAGACCTCCATAATTCAAGTTTTTTCCTGGGCTTTTTCTCTCATCTTATCCAAAAGAAGGATATCATCAACAAAAAGCATACACCAAGGTACATCCTCCTGTAAATGTACAGTAAGACCATCCATAACTAAAGCAAAAGATATGGGCTTAAAGCTGATCCCTGATGTAATTCAACAAAAATTGGAAAATATTTGGTCAATCCTTCAGTTTGAACACAAGTAGCAGCTCTAGTATACATATCTTTAATGATTTGAATATAAGTCATATCAACACCTTTCCTCTCAAGAACTCTCCAAAGGATACTCTTGGAATCTTATCGTAAGCTTTTTCTAAATCAATAAAAACCAAATGTAGATTCTTCTTATTATCTATGAACTTCTCCATCAAACCTCTCAATATATGTATAGCTTCCATATTATACCTGCCTGACATAAAGCCAAATTGATTATGAGAAATCTTTGTAATACATTTTAACTAATGTTCAATTACCCTCTCCCATAATTTTAAAGTAGGACTTATCAGCTTAATTCCTCTATAATTTGCACACTCTTGTGCATCCCCTTTATTCTTAAAAATAGGGACCAAAATACTCTTCCTCCACTCCTCAGACATTTTTTTAGTTTTTGAAATAATCTTAAAGACTTTAGTAAGCCAAGAAACTCCCAAATGTCCTAAATATTTCCACACTTCAGTTGGGATATCATCAGGTCCTACAAAATTTCCACGAAATTTTCACGCTTGGTTTTCTTTAAAGCCTCCTCAATTTTTTTTAACTAATGCGACGGTAAAAATGAAATGTTTTGTTATTATTAACGATATTAAGATCACTAAGATAGATCGTATTTTCAGAAACGTATTTTCAGAAACTTTATTTTCAGAAACTTTATTAAAAAGTTTATCAAAATAACTCATCTACCTATATTGAGTATTATTTATAATAAAAACATTTTTTGATTTTCACTTTACTTGAGTTAATTTTTTACTTTTCTTTTCTCTTTGTTCGGCTAGTTTATACATAGCGGCTAGTTTATTGTTCGGCTAGTTTATACATAGATTTTTCACCCTCTTTAGTGTCTAATATATTATAAAGATCATTAAAAGCTGAATTTTTAGCATCATTAATTGTTTTTTTAGACTCTCTGGGGGCCGCTTGATACATACATGTTTCTTCGACCAATTGTAGAAGACATTTGTGACATCATGAGATAGACATTCAAAGCAAAAAATGCTGCTTAAATATATGAGATTGAAATGAAGATTGTCACTGCAAATAAGAAATTAAACCTATTGCAGAGTGTACCAACCCCTTGAAAAATATGTAAACAAATTAGACTACTGGTAAGTCATCAACTTGAAGTGTGACAAGGATATGACTATCTGAAAAACTTCATTAAGAATGACATGAGTGCATGACTTTCTTGTGGGTTTTAATGCATAATTTGAAGAAAGAAAGAAAAAATAATTTGGATAGGTATGAATGTCAAAATGATCTCTAACATATATGCATTAGATCCTTTTAATCTCATACTTTGTGTTTAAAATAATCTAATATAAAGAGTATCTTGGATCATATTTGTGGACATGCAGGACTATTTTTTATTATAAGTCGAGATTAAATTTGACGCACTAATAGTGCAATGATTATTTTGATTTATTTCTTGATTTAGATGTTAGGGAAAGGTGATAGATTATCTTTGAATGCGACCATCTTTATCATTCAGGCTAAATAAAGCAACAGATGAGTTATGCTTCAGCTCATGACTTATGAAGCATTTGGTTTTACAAAGGATGATGGGAGCAACTACAAGTGTAAGAAATTTTTGACCATCAACTGAAAATTGTGTCAGTATAGACATCTCAAGTGTAGCTGCTGCAAAAGCCAACACATGATAGATGTTATAAATTGAATTACAAATCAAATGCGAATAATGCAGTCATCATGGACTTCAGAATATTCAAAGCCAATCTCATGTGAGCAACTGAGTATCATCCCACAAAAAAATTTAAAAATAAAGAGTTAGTACAAATCAAGAAGAATTTAATAGAGGAGATTGAAAGAATCAGGTAATTATTAGGGATTTTTAAAATGCACTCCTGTAAGTTAACCTCTATGAATTAAAAGCCGTAGATGATACAATTAATTTGTGTAACGTTGATTTAGAAATCATAGATTATGTGACACATTATAATTGAAATTTAGCACCTATGCTACTTGTCGAAGCAATTGTAATATCATATAAAGGAGATGTTCCAATCAATCCATTGTTGGTTTAGAAGAATGTTCTCTATAATCTTTAGTTTTTTGTTAATCTAGTTTTCACTTAAAAACTTGCCCATTATATGTTGTAAAGTCACATTTTCCTTTTTCCTATGTATTTCAGGATAAAGAAATCAGGGGGGAAGAAAGTTGGATTTACTAAGAAAAGGAAGGGGTTTTCTTTCATGACATTGTTAATGGCAAAACATAAACATGACTGAAGCTAATATTGACAGAAGTTTTATTTCCATTTATTTGATTTATAGTGTCATATGGGGGACCTCTCACTATTTTTTGTGTAGCATACATTAGGTAGGTGGTTCTTTTTCATATATGATTGCACCAGACTTTGGTGATTTTTTATTTTCAACTTTTAAATCAGAATCAAACATGAATATCATCATTTTTATTTTTCATATTATGATTTAGATTCAATTTGTGGTGTGAAAAATCAATTTTTCTTAGGCATTATTGCTCTTTGAAAAATGAGTTTGTATGAAGAAATAGGGATAGTTATCATGACTCGAGTTTTGTTGTTTCAAAGAAAATAGTCGAATCCTTTCGGCGGGAGGCCGTCTTCGCAATTATGCATATTATGAATATGCTGACTTCAAATTTTTTTGGTGTTCCAATCACCATTGGAAGTATTGATTTTTGGAGCTACTCATCAAGAAACATAAAAAAGATAAAATGCTACCAAATATATATAGATATAATAAATATTTATTTTGATTATGCTATTTTATAAGATTAAATATCTTTCCTTTCTTAATCCTATTTTTAAATACTTGAGTTCTATTGTTGAATGGAAGAACAAACACTATAGTTTTGACTTGTTCGTCCACAGCTTCATTAACACTTATTAAAACTATCCTTGAAATTGTACCAATTACTTCCACTCCATAGAAAATCTCAAACCTTGACACATTGAGGAGGCAAATATGTATAATCAAGAAAGAAATTTGATGCTGAAAATATGATCTTGACTTTCCCACTTGCATACAAAAAATATAAGAGTGCCACAAATACCTACTACTATTCTGCCTTATTACATGTAACTTAAAATGCTCTTATTGTTTTATAAAGCTTTATTTGTGAGTCTAAACACTACATTGAACCTTAAAATATTGTTTATGGCATAGCCCCACGAGTAATATGTGAAAATTGTGAGAGTGGAGACGCAAGCCTTAAAAGAGGAAAATGACATAAGAGAGATCATCAACTCGGACGAAAATGAGTTTTCATGGTGAATTGCACATCTAATGAAACCCTTGAGAGATAAAAATCAAGACTTTGTGGCTAAGCAACACACTCAAACTTATGGTGTAGGTTAAATACAATGATTAGATTTATATTGTACATAAAAGACAAAAATGTAGCAAGCTATTAGTCTGAATAGATCGGTCCTATCTGAAGAAAATTTGCACTGCAAGTTGTCTATCAAATATTTTACTGCAAAGCTCATCCTAAAAAGGGAATTTTGTCTTGAAGTAACATACACTTGGAATTTTAGCCCTAAAGAGATGTAATATGAAGGAAGCATGTTGAGAAATATAGGTTCACTAGTTAAAATGAGATCAACCTCTATATTATGAGAAAATATTGCGTCCAGAGTTCGAACGCAAGCTGCGTCCAGACAACATACACGATACTCGTTTTTTTTTTTTTTTTTTTGGATGTATCACGGCTTTGTGATCTATCAAGGTTAAAAATTCTCATATGGATCTAAGGATTGATTTGGAAGAGCCCATAAGACTTCATTGTGATTGTAAGCATTAAATGTTAAACACAATTTTATGTAATATGAATGAAGCATGCTGAGAACTTGTGGCCTTTTTTAAGACAAGACACAGATCATGATTTAATTTTGGGGCATTTACATACATACCACACAGTTATTATGTATTTACATATCTACACCTAAAAAATCAAATTTACATGCATTCCACTCAAATCTTTTAGCTTTACATAAAAAATGCCACAATTAATTTCTTTTAAAAGTGAGATGCATGAGTTTATAACACTAAGATGCTATAAGTGTAAATATAAAACCTTTATATGGCAAATATATCAATACATAAGATTTGTGTGGCATCTATATAAAATTTTCTTAAATCTGTACATTATATATATATATATATATATATATCTACAAAATATCATTTGGCATATGCTTTTAAAAGGGAACTCCAAGATTAACAATTTCTGAAGATAACTATTTTCTTGATTGAGACTGTTTGAAGGCAGGTTTGGTTGGCTTGACCTTCAATAGGAGGAACAAAGTATTTTTTAAGTAGGGCATCTACATGCATATAGGCTTCATTTGATAATGCATTCAAGTTTTGTTCGGTCATTGTTAACACGAACACAAATTCTTTTTTGTTTGGTAAAGCGGAGTTCTCTGATGTTCTCCCGAAATTATTCACCGAAACGATATTGTTTTATCATTTTTGAACTCAAGTTCATCACCCGTTCCGCATGCCACTACTGAACGAACTGCAAAGCTCCTTCAAACAAAGCCTAATACATTAATACATACCACCAAATTCCTATGTATTTAAATTTCTAACACTTTCATTCTTCATTTTACATTGAAGTTCAGGTGATAGATACACTATTTCATAGGAATTAAATGGTGTGTATATAAATCTTCCTTAATTCACGAATTGATATATATATATATATATAAATGATATATTTGCGATGAGATCAAGTTGCTGGTAAGAGAGGAAGATTGGCAGAAATTATTGTTGGTGTTAATTAACTGCGGTTAAAAATAGAAAGGTGATGCCTATATATATATATATGTCA